TTTAGGCTCCTCCTGTGATTGAAGAGACAAGCATGTTCAGGATTCACAGATAAAAAGAATGACGTTGAGTCGAACGTCAGTATCAAACCCAAACCTCAATCTAGCAGTGTGTGAAACATTTACAGTAAAGTTAAGTCAATATAAGGTCCTTGGTAGAGAGGAAACGAGAGAAAATTGAAAACTTCCAGAAATAATCCACTACGAAGTCTTACAGTGAAATACAAATTCACATTTTCTTACCATTTATACCTTCTCCAATTTCTCTGTTGCCGTTCAACAGCTTCATGTCAATTCTCTGTTAGCTCCCAGTGCAAACACTAAGTTCACCTAGTTGTGTGACCTTTACCTTTACCAAATTGCAAAACTCTTAAATCACAATGTTTTTCAAATACAGGCAACAAACTGCTTAAATATAACACATCTAAAAAGACCGAACACAACAATCTGACAGACTTTTCATGCCTTTCGCCTGAAATACCAGTTATTCACGTCAAAAGAAGCAAAATGCAGATACTGCTGTAGATAAGGGGTGATGTGCTCACCTTGTTTTTGAAATAGACCTCTATGGGCATGAGGAAACCAGCATAGCCTGACTCTTCCACTTTATATGGGGGCTCTTTACAAACTGCGAAAAAGAAAAAGAAAAAGAAAAATACTTAGTTAATGTTTAGCTATACATTTTTCAATCTACACTGAAACAGAAATATGAAACCAGAATCACTATCTACATGTACATACTATGTGCTACAATAAGGTCAAGGGTGCTTTTCTTTGCCACTTCTCACACCATGGAATTGCAAAAATAACTATTTTTTCCGAACAGGTTTCTGAAACACTCCTAAAATCAGGTAGCCACACCCCAAAATCACACCATTGGTTGAGCCAGAGGTTGACATATCACACCACTCATACAAACAGGGAGATATTTTTAAAACACCCCAGAGAAAGTGTTAACACTTTTTTGAGAATGTAACATCAAAAAAGGACACACTAAAAATACAAACCCTGACAAAAACTGAATCACCACACTTAAAGGACGTACATCCATTTTTTTTTTTTTACATTGTACAAAATAAACAAATCACAGATATGACACAAATCAATTTGGTTAATAGCGGAACAATCTGCCTTTGTAAAACATATAAGAAACTAATTATATTTGCCATATAGTTTACCAGAACAAGTATAGAGGGAAAAAAAAGAATCACACAATGTTGAAGAAAAAAATGATAGAATCACCTTGCAATTTGCATTTCTAAAGCAAATAACGGTTACACTTTATTTTAAGATGTCCGTGTTACAGTGTAACAATACATTTAAGTACTGAGTGATATTAATTAACAACAACATGCACTTACTATATAATTAGGTTTATGGATTGGTTTAGATGCATGTAATTATGCATAATTTACTGTTGTTATTATTACAGTAATTACATTTACATGTAACATATGTAACAAGGACACTACAATAAAGTGTTACCCAAATACCTATTGACAAGCAGTTAAAAAGAGTGCTTACAAGTCAAGTCACATTTATATAGCGCTTTATAAGATACAGATTGTCAAAGCAGCTTCACAGTAATAAACAGGAAACATTATGAAACAAATTCAATTTCAGCTGTAAAGCAGCTCTACAGAAGACAGTAGTGTCATTATTCAGCTCAGTCAGTTCAGTTGTTGATTTAGTTCAATAACGGACCTTATCAAGCTGTTGGACACATGGCTAATTGAAAGGAAAGATGGCCCCAACACAACAGTTGCCAACTGAAACAATGGAGAGAAGGAAATCCAACATAGAATATAGCAAATGAAGTGTGGTGATTGCGTAATTTTTGCCAGGGTTGGTCATGTTTCAATACTAGTTAATATAGTTGCTATACAATTACTTTCGTATTACACTAGATCTTAGGACTTCACATGCTGTAACTACACAACGTATTTTAACAGCATGAGTTACTAAAAAGGGCAGATTTAACACAACAGAATATGGGTGTAAACACCAGCCATTTCCTTAATCCTGATTGAAAGGGACCTTAACCTACATCACTGTGAGTATAAAGTTACAGGGTTATGAAGTAGACTCAAAATATAACCTGCCTCTCTTGGGTTTAGGGAAGCTTTCGTGAAGGCGGAAGACAACTCTCTCCACAAAGTGCTGGATGTCACATGCCTCTGGGCCCCGAACAAACACCATCCAGTCATGTGTGAAGCCCTCGTTAGTGACTTTCTTCCTTAACTGGGCTCTGTGTCCCAGCTCCAGTTTCACCTGCACAGTGCACTGAAATAAGAGGGAAAAAACAGTCATCCACCAGAAGACAAAACGCCGTTTTCTATTCTGAACAAGGTTGTACAACAACAATAATAAGCACTGCTGAATTGCAATATTTGAGCAGTGAGTGACATATACATCTGAGTGAGACTGAGGGTGTGTTCAAACTTGTTCAGTTCGCTTAGTTCGTTTGGTCCAGACCAAAGAAAAACATTTAGTCCTGGTACACTTAGTGTTCAGATTGGCATTTTTATCAACGAACCTAAAGTAATAGGAATACATTCACAACCTGATTGGTCTGCTTTTATGACGTATTGCCTATTTATTTTGAGACAGAACTTACAGAACATCTAAAACAATGCTGTGTGCTGGGCTAAATGTGCTCGTTGTATAGTGCGTAGCCTGCATATGATAGTATTTTGACCAAATGAGAACTCGTGAAGAGCTTATAAAATGTGTGAAGGAGTCAAAACAGAATCAGGAATCCCTCCGTCACACACACAAATGAAGATTTTTATTGTGGTCCAGACCAAACGAACCAAACTACAAGTGTGAACAGTAGTTCACAGACCCATCACTAAGACCCATCTTTTTACCGTTTTCAGAGGTCTCGACCCGTTTGGTGCGCACCAGGGTTTGGATGGCAGCGTTCACACTTATTCAACTGAACCGCACTAACAGAGCAATTATTGCACCAGGGTTCGTTTTAATAGAGCCAAACATGCAATGTGTGAACACTTTAAAAAGGACGAAAAGGAGTCAACCTGCTTTCTCTCTCTCTGACAGCTGCAGATGGAAACTCACAGTTCTGTGACATTCTTCACATGCATGATGGTTTATTGTTTGCAGCTTTTCTTGGTGTGGAAAAAAATTAATGTTAGACTTGTATGTGTTAGCTGCTCAGTGGTTAATAAATTCCTTGCCAATGTTAAATGAGTTTGCATCCTATCATGCCTAAAGCATTTTTTTCTAGTTATTGCAGAATACAAAACTACACAAGCAGTGCATGTCACAAATAATTAGGTAAAAATTAAAAGTTCAAGACAAAGGTTGGCTTAAGGCTAGTTTGAAAGGGCCTGGACAGAAAGTCTGAAGACATTATTAAAAGCTTGAAATGTTAAAGTTTTTAAGACTGAAGCAGCTTTAGACAGACAGACAGAAAGAACAATGTAAAGATGGTCAATCAAAATCCCATGGTATATTAATATAAATGTAACACACATAATATATATAGAATATACTTGGTTATTTTAATTATTTTAAAATAACACTTTTAAAACTAACCCTTATGCCAATATAATGTGAAATGCAATTAACAATTTAAATTGGATTCAAATGGACAGCTACAGTGTACAGCCAATGATTAGCTAAATCAAACCAATTAGAGCACTGGAATTTGGCATATCTAATGAGCTGTCAGTCTTGCATCTAGCGTACTCAAGAGACTTCTGGGGAAAAAAATTATATTGAAAAACGTCAGTTGCTGTTGAATTAATTAAGTGTAATTATTTGTAATTCAATGGAAGAATTTTCTCAACTGTCTCAATACCTAGCGAGCCCCCCTGCTAGACAGGTTTGGCCATGGGAGCTTTCGAACGTTCGCGCGCGTCTATGACGCCCACGAATGCTGTCTATGTAGGCAGCTCACTAGGTTTTGAGACAGTCCCCGGACTAGCCGGACAGCTAGTGAGTGTTGGAACTCAAGAATCCATCTGTCCTATAAGCCAAATGCTGAGGTTTATAAAAAGACAGATTGGTTTCTGTAAGTACATTTTCGTCACGACTTAAATTAACACAAAACACTGATGTAATTTCGGGGGTTTCCTGCTTGAAGCCTCGTACGAGTGACTAGCTGGCTAAGTTAGCATCCTGACCATCTTCAGAAAAACGTTGGCCTCGCTTCTTTCACTACAAATACATTAATGATAAAAGCATGCGTATTTCTCTCTAATGGCTGTCTGGCAGTGTCAGTAAAGTCTTATTACCATGTTCTCCATTGCCGCCTATGTTCCGGTGGTTTAGTTTATTTACAAAAGCGTTGAAGTAGATTGAATGTGCATCCTCGCTCTTACACATCTGATGGAGTGTGAAGGGAGAAACTAAACAGTTTGAACAAATGGCCGCGACACTGACAGTTTTTAAAATAAAAGTAAAATGGCTTTTATCTACCTGTGTTTCTCATCCACATCTTTCTACTTTAATTATTTGCTTACACACTAAGCATATAAAGTTACTCCACCCTTTAATGTAAAATGTACGGAAAGGTTTTCATTAACTTTCTTTCGAGAAGTTCAGAAAGTATTTTAAAAAGACATTTAATTACACTACGTAAGTGAAATTATACAATTTATAAACAGAATATTAAATACTTAAAGCAACACATTCCACCACAGAAAATCATGTAAGGTATTAAAATGAGATAAACTCGCATCACACTTTAAAAAAAATTCCTAACAGGTTTTTATTTGCAGGTAGCAAACACTACAGAAACAACTGTTTTTAATTCTTACACAATAACAAGTGGCCGAGATTTCTTTTTATAAACATGAATACTGTTCTGGATACTGTATGGATACAGCCTCCTGCAATTAGATATTAAAAAAATGTAGGTGACATAATAGTACAACATTACTCAGGTCATTTTTACGCAATTCCAAATTATTTAATGAAAACTAACAAGACTTTTTGTAAGCCTAGATTACTAACAAATGCTTACTGAAGACAAGACATGCAGAACTTGGTGCTAATTGTTATTATAACATCCAGACCAATAGAGATTCTTGAAGTCCACACAGACAGTCAAATGAAAACATTGAGTTGCATATATAAAAAGGGATCACAAAAGTTATTTGTCAAGCATCAGGTTTCGTGTCTCATTTCATGCTAGAGTTGTGTATAAGTTGAGTTCTCAGTGTGCAGTGAAGTCTTAGCCAGTAAAGAAGCAGTGCCAATCTCTGTATCTGTAAAATGCACAGAAGGTTCAGTCTGGTGAGATGATGTCACTATATTGTGTAATTATTTTCAAAAGATTAAATGCCGGAATACACTACAATACTTAAAATCTGAACAGATTTTAAAACACCACGCATCATTACCAGACTTTCAAGTCACCCCGAACACAACACACTTCTAAAACATCCTCCTGTTTGATATCATCCAACTGGATGCAATCAGAGTGAAGCTAAATAAAAAAAAGAATAGCCTGTGCCCAATATGCAGTACATGACTTTCTGTGAAATCTGTCAACTCTGACTGCCCAAAATCTGCAGGCTGGCTGACTTTGGGCATCTAAGGTCAACTTGTCCAGACTGCAAATCAGGACAAAACAATCTGTGCAAAAGTCGTGTAGTGTTTTCCAGCCTTAACCCAATGAATTGCGTGCATTACAAGGTTTATAATTATACATTGAAGTAGGGAATCATACCAGGATCACCGTTCACTTTGCCCCCTGGGTTCTTGTGCTGGCCCTCAATGTGAGCAGTCATCTCCCCCCGGTCTGGGGTGCAGTGGCCACACTGTAGGCAGCTGTATCGCCCTCTTGTGTGTTCCCACAGGATGCGGCAGTTGAAGGACTGACCTGACAGATTTAATTAATGGGCGAGGCATTAAAATCAAAACCAACTCAAAGATCATCATATTCATGGTTATACATTCATTGAGAATGTTTGTAGACAGAAACAGAAAACCTTCACCAGTAAAAGTAGCAGATAATTGCATGATTGACTTGAGCTGGAAAAAGAACTCCAATGATCACTGGCATCAGCTCATATACAAAAGCAATATTATTCACACAATTAAAATCATTAAACCCAGTTTAGACAGATGAACATGGGCACAAAGGTGTAGGGATTAGCAAGTGCTCTCAACATCTCCACACATGATCAACTATTATGACACAGCACCATCTCTTGCCAGAAATGACCACCTGCTTTTTGTCAAATGCAAATGGGAAGGGGAAAAAGTGAAGTAAAGGAACACCGGCCCTAAAAGCAGACCCTCTGATGTCTCATTACATGTTAGTGAAGCCCGTGGACATATGCATTTAGGATCGGATGGGAGTGGACTGAGTCGTGCAGCTAGATGGCACACCCAGGGAAACACTAAAACCGGTTAAAGCCGGGGAAGGGGAGGAGAATTAGCATCTGAAGTATCATTTGAGGGAAGATCTGATTGTTCCCTCAAGCAATGTGTGTGTGGATTCTCTGTGCCTCACCTGGACTTCATCTCTACTTAAACTCTGACTGCTTGGAGAGTTCCATCTGTGCAAAAGGGGCCCGGGCGGTTCTGGCAGGACAGTGCAACATGACAAAACACAGTTCACTCAAAGTGGCCATGGCCAAGGCTTAGGCATTTCCCCCACAAGTGACTTACAAATTCCCTTTCAAAAGGACTCACACCTGTTGATAAGCAGGTGAGATCAGTTGAGCAAACTGCAAAATACACAGGTGAACAGGGTCTAAAATGTAGGATGATTTAAGGAACACTGGGTCTCATTCACTAATAATTGCAAGGATTATTCATACTTATGCACACAAGAGAACTTCTCAAGGAAATGTTTCACCTATTTTACAACACGTGCACACGGAATTGTTGTTAACCTCATTCTAATGTTAATGAATATGGAATATTCTAAATGAGCGAATGCGTGCCAAAAGTTAGTAATTTGCATAAAACACACTCAAACCATTTTTTCCTTTACACATATATACACATAAGATTTGTGAGATAAAATATCAAAAATTTCATCTTAACACACTGTGTATATATGTACATAATATATATGATTGTGTGTGATTTGTGGTTCTTACACTTGTTTTTAATAAATTTTGGGAAAGAAATTGTATAAAAGTTATTGATTAATTCAGGTTTTCCTGCACAAATTTGTGCATACGCATGGTTAGTGAATAAGACCCATTGTGAGCAATGACACTTGCTTTCAGTCGGCTTTCCTCACTCACAGAGGAAAGCTTTATGAGATCCATTCACCTTGGTTCTTCCTCCAGACAGCGTTTGATCCTGGTGATGACGGCAGGGGTGGTGAAGAGGGCAGACTGGGAGGACCAGATCTAGGAGACCTCTGCTGCTGCTGTAGGCCCGGATCTGGCAGGAAGGCTGGGTTAACAGGAGACAGAGTGGGTGGAAAAGGGCTGTAGGTGGATTCTGGTTTGCAAGGAAGATTTTGGTTTGAGGCGAGATTTAGAGTGGCAAGGAGCAAAGTTGCAGGGCCTGCAGGGGTTGGGTTAGTGAAAGCACTGTTTTCTGGCATGTTTGCCAGTGTTGAATGTGTTGCCAAAGTGGGCATAGATGGCATAGACTCCATCTCCTCTGGCACATTTGGGGATAAGAGGGGTCCAGATGGTTCCATGTCACCAGAAGTGAGAGGAACACTGGCGGGCTCTGCGTCAGGTGCCATTCCAGTCTCTATCTTTACTGCAGCCTTGTTCTTAGCAACCTTGGCACAGGTCTGCAGGTGTTTGAGGAGAGTGCGATAAGAACGCAGTTTGGCCCTGCAGCTCTCGCACCTAAAGGACACAGACATAATGATAATGAGGAAGCATAAAGCTGAAACATAATATTAAAAATAAGTGAATCAATGCTAAAAGAAAAAACATCAAATCACCCAAAAAATATACAAATACATTTTTTTTTTAATTGTAAATTGGTTGCTGAGATTAAGAGCATTTTTAAAGACAAGACTAAGGCAGTCTGAGATAAGAGGGCATCTATGGTAAATTGCTAAATGAGCTAGTTGTTTTATTTGATACTGAAACAATGGCAAGAAAGAGTGACATTTTTGTTTGTTTGTTTGTTTTTAATGCCATGACGGATTATTTGGCAATTTTTATGGTGACAATCGTACATGTGCTATTAAAATGTATAAATAAGAATAAATAAGATATTCAAAATATTCATATTCAACTTGTTTCTCCTAAAAAATGTACCTTGATAAAAACCTTTTAAAAGGTATCAACAAAGTAAAAAACAAAATTCTCAGAAGAGTGGAAATATTAAAAAAAAATTATAAATGAATATATCTTTAGTTTACTAATAAAGAAAGGAAGCCTAAATGCAAAGCGGAACTCACAGGAAAAAATAATTTGGCTTGTAATGGTGTCTCATATGTTCCATTAGCTGCTGCATGTTGTTGAATGAACCATCGCATCCTATATGAGAGCACAGGAAAGCTTTCCCTAAAGAATAAAGGATAGTGCATTAGACACCAAATTGCTGATGTGACACTTTTCATGACTATAAATTAACTGATTAAATGATAACAATTATAAATCATTTCATCCATCAAGTGCACTATTAAAAAAGTCACAGGCACGTTGATGTTATACCTGGAAGAGACTGGGCAGTGTTCTTTTGATGGTCCTGAAGATGACTATTCAGTGCTTCTGGACTGTTGTAGGTCCTCTTGCACCCAAAAAACGAGCAGGACATTTGACAGCCTGGTGGAACATTGAGTGCTCCTTAAACGGGACTATACAATGCATTGAAACAGTAAATTAAAAGATAGTACTAATATTGACATACCTTCCATGGTGATTTCTTAGATTTGAGGTAGTCGGTCCTTCGGACTAGATAAACGAGATAAAATATGATATAGAAGAACATTAATGGTCATGCACACTTTCAGTGAATGGCACGTATAAGTTCTAATGTGGGTGTGCACGTCATAACAACAAAGAGCAGACTTAAAGTAATTAGTAGACTGCATGCATTTGATCAATAACAGTTGATCAATAACAATAACAGTAGATAAATCCATTGACGTTACTGACTAAACTAATATAACATCTCATAAACGTAAACAATCAGGGACGTGCGCAGACAGCCAGCGGTCGCACGAGCTAGCAGACAACAACAACAACAACAACAAAACATCCCATTATCTGCTTGGAATAAATGTATACATGTGCAATTATTTATAGTGCACATTGATCATGACACTTACTATGAATTTATTTCGTGAGGTTTTCAAAGCTTCTTTTCAAAAATAGACGTTAATTCAAATGAAATCGATTATTAACTTACCTAGCTAGATCGCATTTCCAGCCTGGCTACGTGCGATACGTTCATCTCTAAATATCGCGAGAACATACGTTCCCGTTCCAGTTCGTGTTGACTGGTGATGACAGACAAGATGTTTACACTATTTTTCAATTCCTTTTTATTTTTGTAGCAGATTTTAGTTTTAGTTCGTTCGTTATCCATAAAATAGCGATTAATAAAATGACTTACATAAAAAAAAAAATCTAAAAAAAAAATCCAGGGTATTTTCTATATAATTTGTGCAGCTCGTGGTTCTACTGTAATATCTAGGCTACTTGTTTCTCTAAAATACTCAATGACTTTGGCAGTCTGAAAGGTTTTCCTGCTATTGTATGTATTCCTCTCTGTAGCTGAGCAACTGGGAGGCTCCAAAATGTCAAGGGAAATCCTATTGTTGACACAGCTTTTAGACATGGCACATAAAGGAGACAAGTACAATTCGGATACAGTTGCTTTCCAAGCCCAAGATTTGAGTTTTGATGTTGTTTAAGCTTATTTTGTTTGTTTGTTTAAATTAATGTAGCTCAACCCCTTATTAGCAGTGGCTATTATTAATTTGATTCGAATACAGTTTTTTCTCTCTTGACCATAGAGGGCACAGAATCTCGTCTCATCTCAACACATTTAACGAATGACTTTGCTCTTCTTATTTTATAATTTCATCTGAATATCATAATTTGTAATATTTAGTCAGCCGAACCCGTTAGGTTTTAATTGATCTAATAGCCTAAATGTGTCTGGAAAATAGTGATCGGTGATGTATTATGTTGCGAATTTATTTTGAAACGTTACGGTATTTATACTTGAACGAAATGACCAGTAGATGACCAGTAGATGGCTGCAGTGATCCACACATCATGCCTGCCTAGACCAGCTGTTCTAATCCAAGAAATATTTAAAATAATATAAATTACGTTATATTACACACACAAATAGTGTTTGAAAACCACTTCTCTTCCCCTGACGGTGGTATTTTGTTCCCATTTGGTTGTTTTTTACTTTAGAAAGTTGCAATCATCCGTTTTTAAAAATGTGACTGCTAACCACAGGAACCGTAATTGATTTAACACATTAAATACCTGAACATAGGGTTCTAATGCTGTGATATTGCACCCTTCAGCAACTAGTACTGACTGTCCAGTAGATGGGGCAATAAACAAGTCCACTGAATTTGGCACTAAAGCGCCTGTCCAATTTTGTTTCTGAATAGATGACGTAGGGAAAATGATACCCCGCCCCTGAAATGAATGTCCAATAGTGTTCTGAGTTTTTGATTTGACTTTCTTTTGATTGGATGTGGAATATAGAGTGGGCGGAGTATAGGATACAACCTTATATATGCGTTGTGCTCTCAGATTAGTTTACATTACAATTGACAAACACATAGTAGCGTTCTATTACACGGTGGGTTGGAGCAACGACGTGAACGCTGGCGCCTCACGGCTAGTAACGGGGTAAGATGAAACCCTTTCCTCTGCCTATGAAATGATTCTGAGATCTCTCTATAAATAAACTCCAGGCCATTACTTTCCGAATGCAACCACATGCAGCTCAGAGGTAGGTTACACGGTCAGCTTGATTAAAAATAGCTACTCATAGCTTGTAAACTAATAACCAATTTTAAACGTACATAAGACATGGCAGTTGGTATTTCTCGATTTTAATAGCTATTTAATTCGTTTATTTTGTTGCGTGTTAACTTTCTGACTGTGCTGACTCTTGAAATATGAAAAATACCAAGTCCGTACAAGAGCTTTTCTCTTCTCTTATGGTCATCATCTGTATCTCTGAGACTCCAGATTGTCCCTGGAAGAGTATCTGAACCCATATTGATGCTGTTTTTGTCTGTCTTTGTTTGCAGGAGTCATCTGTTGCGCGACCACCTTGAGGTGATCAGATCAGAGGGGACAAATAATTGATTTAAAGGACCCACTGCACAGGTTTAGGCACCAAGCTGAACGTCATCATCTGACCATTCGAAATCATGGTGCAAAACAAAATCACGGAGATCACCGGATTCCATCGGTCCTTCAAGGTTGGTTACTTGTTGCCAGAAAATGGCTTAATGTCCTGAATGAATGTGAACTTGCAAGCTTTAATTTGTGACACTTGAAAGAAATGTTCCTGTCTTCCTGTTCTCAGGGGCAAAACCCTTTCAAGACTGAATTCATAGATCCGGAATCCCATCTTGGCTCGTCCTTCAAGATAGACCACTCGCCAAGGCCTGGTACAGCTATTTTGCCTACGGTTTCATTAATATTGACCGTTACTATCAGTCTTAATGGTTGACAAACTCTGAGGAGGTAGAGATACGAGATATCTGCTCAAGAACTCCTTGTGTGTTAGGCAAAGTTCATTGTAGATTAGATTGATGGACTAGGCACAAAAGTTTTTTTTTTTTTTTTTTTAAAGACATGCCATCCAGCAAGCCCATTGATATCCCTGATGCCAAGAAAAGACATAAGAAAAAGAAAAGATGCAGAGCCACTGACAGTTTCTCTGGACGTTTTGAAGGCAAGCTTTATTTATTCTCAAGCCTGGAGTTAAGCTTCACTGTCTATAGAGGGTAAATATTAATTTTCATTTCTTTACAGATGTTTACAAACTGCAAAGTGAGATTCTTGGTGAAGGGGCTTATGCTGTTGTACAGACCTGCATCAATCTGATCACCAATAAAGAATATGCAGTTAAGGCAAGTATCTGCACCCTCTTATGTTAAAACTGCACATCACTTTTCATGTGGCTAACAAATAATAAGTGCTAAGTATAAGCAGTTAGCAATGTGATCTTAGCTGATCTTGTGACATCACTCATGATGACACTCTGATGTTTTCAAGCACATCAAGCACATTTATTATTGCTGCATAGTTTTGAGTGAGAAATGCATAATGGGCTTAAAGTAAAACCAATGAGGGGAAAAAAGGCTTGAAGGAGGGAGCAAATCAAAAGGCTTGTTTTAAGCCATATAATATATCATAACTTTGCAATACATTATTAACGTGTGTGCGTGGTTACCAGATTCTTTAAAGTAAATTCTGACACAATAGTTGTATTTTAACTTTTGATTGCAGGTGCACATTGTTTGCATGTTCTCTTAAATGTGTTTTTTATTAACACTCCAAGATGTGTTTGACCCTTGGTGTATGTATTGAGGAAAGCAGCCAGCCAAGCAAACTTTGGCTCTACGTTCACACTGCGATCTGATTTTTATTTTTGTATAGCTGTTCACATTGTTGTTTTAAATGTGGCCAATGTCAGATTCCAGTGTGAACCGATCATGGTCCTGGATTGACCCGTATGTGCAAAAGAACGGTAAAAAGACGTCACACAGCACGCTATCATGCGAAAGTAAACACTGAGGACATGCGTTTAATTATAGTGATCTGCCGCGGAAGCTAGCAAGTTTATGCTCAGGCAGGCAATATTAAAAAACAAAGATGAGAATGCAAAAAAAGAGTGCAGAGTTTTTAAAAATGTGCTATCACTGTAACACTTGTGAGTTCTGATATATCACTGTCCTTCCACTGACTACCTTTCGCAATTGTCTTTAAATTCTGTCTGATATGTAAAATCTGACTCCCATGAGTGCAGAATTGTAGTAATTGTTGATATAGAGTGACGTAAAATACGCATGAATTTCATTTTGACTGTTCAGACTGAGGTTGCATTGCAAAACATCTGACCTGTATCTGATTTAGGGCCAGTCCACATATGGAAGTGGCCCAAGTCAGAATTGTAAAGATCAGATTCCATGTGGTTTGTGCTGTTGATGTGGTCATGAGAAAAACAGTCGAGTCACATATGAGCAAAAAATGTTGGGCCATCTTTGCCTGCAGTCTGAACATAACTGTGTCCTGCCTTAAATGTAGTGTTACACATAAGAATAAAAGAGGATTTATGCTGGGACAGATGGCTCTGTTTTAATGTTTCAGCCCTCATCAGGAAATACCGGACACTAGCTTTGATTCACGGTTGTTTGAGCTTTGTTCATGCAAGCTGTTTTATTTGTTTTGTGTGATGTTTACTTCTCTCTGGAACATTGGCCTTCCAGCTACTGTGCTGCTGCTGTGAAACAAAAATAAATGACTACAGTGCCTGTTCAGTAGAGAAACTTCCCCTTTTCAATTGTTGTTATTGTGAAGCAGGACATGTTATCTGAAAACGCAGTGTGGTTTCTCGCGTTGCATCTGTTTGACCTCTAGTTGATGGAAAAGGTAATGTAGAGGGTGCTAAATGAGGCATGTGCAGGACAGTTCATGTGGCATTTCCTAGCAAACGTTCTGTAACTTGCCAAAGGAAAGACAAAATTGAAAACCGCAGGTTCTCCACATAGCTGATGTCATGGAGTATTGTTAAATTCCAAGAGTCCTATGAGCTGGTGCATTTTTGGATGTTGGAGAAAGTTTGAAGTTTCCCTGTTTAAATGATTTGTAATTTGCGTACCATGCGACGTGAATCGTGTAAAATGTTTGGCTAATGCTTAACCTTTTGAGTTCCTGTGATGTAAATGCTCATCACAAGTTAAAATCTATGGACCCTATAAATAACATGCTCTAATGCCAAGGTAAATGTGTTTTTATTTTTATTTTTTTTAAATAGTCAAAGGGACGGATGGCAAATAAACCAGTACATGCTTTGAGTTAAAGGGTTAATTTTCCCTACGTCAAAGCCCGTAAGACCTCCGTTCATCTTCGGAACACAGTTTGAGATTTTTAGATTTAGTCCGAGAGCTTTCTGTCCCTCCATTGAAAATGTTTGTACGGTATACTGTCCTTGTCCAGAAAGGAAATAAAGACATCATCAAAGTAGTCCATGTGACATCAGTTGGTTAGTTAGAATTTTTTGAAGCATCGAAAATACATTTTGGTCCAAAAATAACAAAATACGACTTTATTCAGCATTGTATTCTCTTCCGGTTCTGTTGTCGAGCCGCGTTCAGTGATGCTAGTGACGTAAGACTCTGCTGACGTGTTATCAGTGCGCCCGAGCTTAGTTCACAGTCTGAGGGAGACACACACTGTAAACAAAACAATTTTCGCAAACATGTCTAAGGATTTCGACACAGAGGAAGACTTGCATTTTTTTTTTGCCCAGCCATATTTATTTGAACCCGAATACACGGACGCACCAGATAACACGTCAGCAGCGTCACTGAGCGCGAATTGACAACAGAACCGGAAGAGAATACAATGCTGAATAAAGTCGTAGTTTTTGTTATTTTTGGACCAAAATGTATTTTCGATGCTTCAAAAAATTCTAACTAACCCACTGATGTCACATGGACTACTTTGATGTCTTTATTTCCTTTCTGGACAAGGACCGTATACCGTACACATTTCCAATGGAGGGACATAAAGCTCTCGGACTAAATCTAAAATATCTTAAACTGTGTTCCGAAGATGAACAGATTTTTGGGTGAACTAACCCTTTAAGGGGGGCATCACATCTTGTAACCCCTAGCCCATTAAAAATGTACACTACCATTCAAAAGATTTGGGGTCAGCAAGTATTAATTTATTTTCAGACAAAAAAAGTTCATCAAGGTTGTGCTAAATTCCTTAAAGTGATTAAGACATTTGTTACAAAAGATGTTTTTTATTTTTATTTTTTTACTCCCTATTCAAAGAATCCTGAGAAAAAAATTCCATTAAAGTATTACTCCATTGTTTTCAACAATGATAATACATTTTTCTTGAGCAGCAAATCGGCATAGTAGAATCAATGATTTCTGAAGGATCATGTGACACTGAAGACTGGAGTAATGATGCTGAAAATACAGATTTGCCATCACAGGGATAAATCTCATTTTAAAACGTATTCAAATAGAAAAGTTATTTTTTAAATTGTATTGTAATATTTCATATTACTGTTTTTGCTGTATTTTTGATCAAATAATTGCAAGACTTTTATTTATGTAGATATTGTATACACAAGTGTGTGTGTGTGTATATATATATATATATATATATATATTACACAAATGCGCGCACACACAGAGACATATACATGTATATAAAATAACAATATATGCATGTATGTAAACATATGTTAAATGCGATTAATCGATTTGACATGACTAAATTAAATTCACTGCTATACCCCACTTATCACAACATTCCCAGTTGTTGATGGCCACAAAATTTGTGGCATGCCGCGGGCCACGTGGTAGGCTCTACTAAGGATTTTCTTAATTTATTCCAAAGTCAATTGTTCAAGTTCAAATTGACAATTTGATCAAGTCCTCAAGTTTATGTTTACGAGTTGGGAAGTCATGTTTACGACCTCATGTGTGTTAAAGTCACTTTCGTCAGAGCAAGATGGTGGTGTACCTTTTAAGTAACTACACAAAAAACAGTAAGGTTTTTAAACTTTCTACAAAATGAAGAACAAAGACTGTGCATCACCATCAGGTGTGTTTTGCTCAGTTTTTAATTAATTTATGAAGCCTCTGTAAAATTTCAGTACACATTGTTATATTACAATGCTATTATATATTGTGCAGGCAATTTGCCTTACACAATTAAAGCCTTACAATGTCACTTCTAAATACCTTTAAGTATTGCGGTATTCTGCCACATTTCTCACTGACACGCTCCCAACTCGTAAACTCTGGGCTTAAAGAAAATCCAGAGTTTCCGACTCGTATGTACAACTTTTTGTTGGCGTTCATGTGCGTTCAACTCGTAAATACAATATTTCCGACTTGACTTGAACGCACCATTAGTCAACTCTTCGTTTGTGATGAGGAACCTGCCCCTACGTTGTTTATCATACATGGTCTGGGTGCCCTGAATGTTGTGAAACCTGATCATCTGTCAGGCTTGTAAAGCCTGATGACCATGTGGTGACCTGCTGAATCAGTGGTCTGAGATGTTCTTTTGTTGACGAGCAGTGGCGTGTCATGTGTGCTTGCTAATCTCCCACACATGCTGTGCGTGGGTGATCCACAAAGGGATACACCGAACTGTCGACTCGTGCTGAATACTGAGATGACGTGGGCATGTCTGAGAGTTTTGCCACTTAAGAGCAAATGTGTACTTAAAGGGCTGTCTCTAGTTAGCAAAATAGCCCATCAAAACAGACTCATTGTGTTCTGACCTTGACTTGCAGAACTCTGTGTCCTTCCTTGGGTTTGTATTGGGTCGTTAAGATGATGTTTTAATGTTATACAGATAATTGAGAAGAGGCCGGGCCACAGTCGGAGCCGTGTCTTCAGGGAGGTGGAAATGCTCTACCAGTGTCAGGGCCACAGGTATGGAAAGCCTTATGTGACACTATTGGTCCTTTCCCAAACCTCCATAAGATACCTCGTTTTGGCCAGACACTAAAATGGCATTTAACAATCACAGAAATCTAATGCGACAAGCTAAGTGGGTAAAAAATAAATCCAAGATGGTGGACAAGGGGAGAGAAACTTAATTTAAAACTGTTTGTAAACTAAAGTTTTCATTTAATAGCTTGTATGTAATTAGAAATGCACTACTTTACCCAATGTTTATGTTGTGCATCTTTATTCTTGGAGTATTTTGCGTTTATCTTAGCAACATGCTGATGGCAAACTATTAAAATCAATTGTGGGGTCGAGTCTTATGACTGTTAAGATGCTGCCAACATAGTTCCAAAACCTAGTTAGCAGTATTGCAATCTAAGCTTGTGAAGATCATTGAAAATCCTTTAAGATACCATAATGTTAGAATGCCTAATGTTAATCTTTTCTCACCACAGAAACATTTTGGAACTGGTGGAGTACTTTGAGGACGAGGACAAATTTTATTTGGTCTTTGAAAAACTGAGAGGCGGTAAGTGTGTGGGCTTTATTTTTTGTTTTTGTAAAATAGTTTTATTCAGCTAAGACCCATTACATTGATCAAGTTTACATGCGTTTACAAAATTTATATTTCAATTAAATGCTGTTGTTTTGACATTTCTATTTTTAAGAACACTCAATTATGTATCACGGTTTTGTAATAAATTATAAATTTTACTTGAGCATCAAATCAGCATATTAGAATTACTCTGAAAGATATTAAACTTTTAAAGGTAAAGGTTCTCTAAGCGATGTTGGGTGACGTCACTTGTTGACGTTTGAAGTATTGTCCAACAAAACGGAGGCTAGCTCGACCCTCCCTCCTCCTCATCCCGTCCCCTCCCTTCCGTGCTTCCTGAAACAGGCTTTTCCGATGTAAATTCGGGGACTTCGCACGTTCCTTCGCCTTTTCCCTCTTCTTTGCTATTTGTTCATCGGAACGTCGTCTCTTTGGTCGTTTGTCGGCCATATTCAAATTCAAGAGAATATAATTCTAATGTTAGTCGTTATCTAGGACATCTCTCCTCCACTCCCCACACCCCCCTTCATTTCCACGCTCACTAACCCCCCAACCCCCACCCCCAAATCATTCTTATCAGTTATTGGCTGGAACACTATTTGTTTCGTGGTGCAGGTTTGCCCAGTTTGTTTTTCTTGCCGTTTGTGGAGCCTGAGCTGTCTACAGAGCCTGTTTTTTTGTTTTGTTTTTTAACTTTGTTCAGGGGACAGGCAGCTAGCAGATAGTGAGATGTTTGCTGTATGTGACAAATGTTTCAGCCTAAAAAACGTGACATCGCTTGGAGCACTTTTAATTTTCAAACTGTTGTCTATTCGTTTGGTAAAGATTCTATAATATATAATATCAGCAAATTTCATGCATTTATTCATTTTCTCAGGTTCTATCTTGACCCACATACACCGAAGACAACACTTCAATGAGCAGGAAGCCAGCATAGTGGTGCAGGACATCGCCAGTGCTCTGGACTTCCTACATAACAAAGGTTGGGACCTTTAGTATTGATACAACACAATGTCTCCTTGCAGTCTATATATTACCAACATAGATGTTTATTCATTATGTCTTCTACTTGTTCTAGGGATGGCACATCGAGACCTAAAGCCAGAGAACATCCTCTGTGAACATAGTGACAGGGTGAGTCTCTCTCTGTACATGAGGAGACATGAGACATCTGAGGAGAACACACATGCACTGCATTTCTGACCAGATTTTTGATGAATATGTTGGGTACAGTAGGTTGTTGTTTTTTTTGTTTTTTTTTAAGCTGTTGAACAAAACCTGAATTGACCCATAGGAATACTCAATACCACGCTCTTAACTCCCTTCACTATGACATTTAAAGGGGCTATTTTCTTTTTCTTTTCTGTAGATTTCTCCAGTGAAGATCTGTGATTTTGATTTGGGTAGTGGGATCAAACTGAATAGTGACAGCTCACCCATCTCCACCCCTGAACTCTTGACTCCGGTGAGTTTAACCTAGGAGGATATTGGTCGACCAATATTTTTGATGGCCAATGCTGATACCTTAGAGCAGAGTGGCTGATTGCCTATATGATATTGTACCATTTCATTTAAAGATGGTCAATGACACATGCTGCAATGACATTTATATTTATTTTACATAATATTTATTAAAATAGAAATCATTTGAAAGTGAATCAATATGAAATAATAATTTGAACTCTAAACTAAACAGATTTGCACTTTATTTAATGAAATTACACTATTTTTCATTAATAAAATGTTAAAATTACAAAGAGCTATAGGACATGTGATTGTAGGAGAGGAGTAGGATTTTTTTTTTTACATTTTGATTAAGAGCTTTGAGGCTGGTTGGTGTTTAAAAACTTGTAAACGCCCACAAATTGAACTTATTTCCATTTGAATGCATTGTCACCTACATTCCATCTGGTATAAGTGTACATAAATCAAGTCACTAGTCAGTATTTTAATGCCATTTTTATTGCCACTTCACTGCACTGCTGTTCTTATTTTGATCTCGAGGACAACGGAGATAACGGTTATTGCTTTAAAGCCACAGCCAATAAACCTCCATGTGATCGCGTCCAGTAACTGAGTTTTGTGAGGTTTCAACATCTGTTTTGATGTGAAGCGTTACCATAGGTCACAGAATTATGTCAAGATTACAGATCAAGGAACGGTTGACCTTAAGTGATTTAATTGCATATGAGTCTGAAGGGAACAGGCAAAGGTCTTTTAATGTGAATACCTTCATGTACAGAGAGCAAAAACAAAATTCCTCATGGAGATCTTTTAATACATCTCCCTCTTCTCACCGCACCCTGGTGGTGAGCACTCAAACTTTTACTACAGGCTTGTGGTTTTTTTACAGTCTATTTTTCCTGATGTCTGCAGACTCTGCAACTGGAACTGGGTGGGTCAGAGCTTGGATGGTGTACCCTTTCATTTACTTTTTTAATTTAATTTTTATCATAAATGCACCAGAATGTTCAGGAAGAAATCCATGGCATAGTTCTACATGGCTTTTTAACTTTTGTATACCATAACTCACTTGAAACATTGACTTGTCCATGTGGCATAATAGGTGAAAGGCCTAGATCACCCAAAAGAATTCTGTAATTTACCAAATCTCGTTGTTCCAAGACCATAGACTTTCGTTCATCTTCAAATCACAAATGGAGATTTATGTCCCTCCATTGACCGTTATTCCTCAAACTTTGATGCTTGAAAATTTTCATAAAGACCTCTTAAAAGCAATCCTTATGAATCAAGCAGTCTAATCCAATTCTTCTGAAGATGCATTATACATATCAACCGATTTAGTTTAGGCTTTTATTCACACATAAACATTGGCCAACGAGCATGCATAAAGTACATAAAATGTGTTCAACGGAACCTTAAACATGCTTGAACAAAAGTCTTAAGGGTACACCGTACAAGTATTTAATGACAATTATCATTTTTGGGTGAACTATCCCTTTTAAATACTCTGGTTGATTTTCCTCTTAACTCTTTTTTTTTTTTTTTTTTAACTTAAAACTTTTTTTTTTTTTTTTACCCACAACTGTGGTTTTACTTGCTAGAATAATGACCAGGGAAAGTCCCTGGTTTTGCCAGAACTAAAGTCCTCTCATGCCATGATAACATTGCGTTCATAATCCATCTGAGAACATGCAGTTATTGAGACTGATGCAATGCCAGCGATAACTTGCAGTGGTTGAGGTCACTGATATAAACAAGATAACTTCATAACGTCTTTGTGTACATCACTTGCTAATCCTAACCCTGTAGCCTACATGTTGTCTGGAAACACTTTTTCCTTTATAACGACGGGAGGAAGCGGGTGGGGCTGCTCATAAGCGACAGACAGCTTTGTGTGATACTCCTAAGATTCCCCTTGCACAGAGGAGTGTTATGTAAGGGCCCAGTCATGCTGAAAGCAGAACCAGCTGGGCAATAAACTGACAATTGGGGATCATTGCTGGACTCTCGGTTTGTTGAATTACGGTGCACAACTGTGTCCCTAGTGAAAGGGATCCAATTGCGCTTCCATAATCAGGTGATCTTTTATCAGCTTCAATTGTTTAACCAATAGTTCTTTCTTCTGATTACAAAGGCATTTTGTCATAAGATCAACTGGCCAAACCTCTTATGGTAAAAGTATACAGTGGCATTTTATCACGGCACACTTCATTTTGGCCGGTTATCTCGTTTCCTTGAAAGTGATGCCCCGACACCTTTACAGAGCTCTGATGGTTTGAGGGAACAAGGAGTGTTCTTGCGAGGTTATCAAGGCTTGGGTTTAGATTTGTTCGGGTCAAAGGGAAGGCAGCCTAGGCTGATTTTTAGGATGCTATTTGAGGACACTGTCTCCTCCCCCTCTGCATAATGTATTTAGCCTCCTCCGTTTGCATCAGTGACTCATGCAGTAGTTGTATAACAATCTTTTTTTTACCAGACCGCTGCACTCCTGGTCTGCTTGCCCCGCTAAACTGCTAACCTCCTCTGTGTTTTTGTCTGTTGCATTAATTATTAGTGCACCATTCAGGATGTCCGTTCATATGTGTTATGTAACACTCAAGCAGGGTTGGGGCTTGTTTATCCCCAGCCGGTGTAGAGCGGCTTAAGTCCTTTTTTCTTTTTTTTTTTTCCTCGAGCAGCAACCTTTTGGCCTAGTTTCCACATGACGCAGGGCAGACAGCAGCCTGTGGTCCCTGCTGGAACAGTTGTCCGCTGACGCGCCCAGGTCTGAATCGGATCAGGCCACCCCAGCTTAACTCGGAACAATGACCTTGATAATGCCTCTGCAGGTGAAAACAAACAGGAGAGGCCAAGCTGAGGGAGTGCTGATAGCTCTGACCAATGATGTAGCTCTAGGTTGCTCACCTTGTTACATCAGAACTTGTTGTCTGACCTAGGGACATGCTGATGGGATGTTGTAATGAGTGTATATGTTGTAAACATGAAGTGAAACCCTGAATGCTCTACCCAATAGTGTACTTGTGGCATTTAAAAACCATGTGGGAGATTTGTGGACTTTTCTTTGTATGTCTGAGGACTTTTACAGTATGTACTAAAGCATTTTTAATTCCTACAGTGTGGCTCAGCTGAATACATGGCCCCCGAGGTGGTGGAAGCCTTTAATGAAGAAGCTAGCATCTACGACAAGCGTTGTGACCTGTGGAGCCTTGGCGTCATCCTTTACATCATGCTAAGTGGATACCCGCCCTTTGTGGGTCGCTGTGGAACAGACTGTGGTTGGGATTGGGGAGAGCCCTGCCAAGCCTGCCAGGTACACCACACATCTAGTTTGCTGGGAAATCTGGCAGTACTGAAAGTTCAAAACTTTCCGTGGAATTGTAGTAGGAAAGACCCAGTAGGACCTGGTCTAGCCATCTTGTTTCATAGTCAGGGCTTGATGGCCTGGGGCAACTGTCTTTTTTTCTTTTCTTTTTCTTTCATTTTTTAACTTTACATTAGTTAGGCTAGTAGTTTTTGTGGTGGTATCGAACTGAATCGAGAAGTGTGAAATTTTACTGCGGTTACATTTTTGGTGTCGTAACAACCTTTTTTTTTTTCTTTTTTTTTTTTAATGGAAGAGCGATGAAATCGATCAATGAATAAATCATTTATTTGAGTAATTTTGTGGCAGGGAAAATAAAAATCTGAACCACTGGCTTGACAGTACAAAAAAGAATCCCTGATAATGTTACTACTACACATTGGATGTTTAATACCATTCATTACAATTTTTCCACAGAGCATGCTGTTTGAGAGTATTCAGGAAGGCAAATATGAGTTTCCAGAGAAGGACTGGGCACACATCTCCCCTGCAGCCAAAGACCTCATCACCAAGCTGTTGGTGCAGGATGCCAAAGACCGCCTCAGTGCTGCCCAAGTGCTGCAGCACCCATGGGTTAAAGGGGTATGTCCATTACTTCCAATCTCTAGGACTTTGAAGACTTCATTTAACCCAGTTAACATGTATTTGCAGCTTTGACTTATTTGACTCATTTCTGTTGTCCTTCATTTTTAGTGTGCACCAAACACTGTGTCTGCATCCATACTCCATCAGAGGTGGGTAAAGTGCAGATTAAATGCCCTGATGTACCCACAGCAAAGTTAAATTTTCGCTTGGGGGTAAAAATAAGTTTGAAATGCGTGAGTTTTGGTATACTGTTAATCAAACATCCCAATGCCGCCCACACTGTTGCGAGTGCCGTTTAGATGAATATGTAAATACGTGCTGTGCACTTACCTCTCAATAACAAAATAAGCACAACAAAAATGACAGTTGTGAGAAACCGGCAGTGAAGAGAAAAAATCTGATCATAGGGATGTGGATGTTTGCACGAGCTCATCAGTTTGTGCAAGTCATGTTTATTTAAGCAATCTATTGTATAAAGCCTTTGGGCTAATTCTGGCATATTTACATTGCTGAAAAGCTAAGATGTCCATTAATATGCACTGTCCCTTTTAAATAAATTTTTTTTTTTTTAAATGGTGCTGTAAAGAAAGGTGCTATAAAGAAAGCAGCTTTAAACATAAAAAAAAAAAAGTTAAACATGGAAAAAAGTGTGCATGTCACTTTCTATTAGAAGCACACCTACCTATACGTAATTGCCAAAGACCAAAGGTAGTTCGAATGGGTTTAACAGCTTCTCGGGATCAAATCCTCAAAACAATCTTCAAACAGATTTTGTCACGAGTTTGTTCTCCAATTCTGCTATCAGGGCCTATATAATACACAGTATATCAGGGCCTTAATACATTTCTGAATCCCATTATCCAGCAGCAATAGTTTTGACTGTAAATACCAGATCATTTAATATTCATGCTATCCTGACCATCAATGTCTTTTCTCCAGGGGCGGTAGCGCTCAGGACCTGACGTTCTTTGCTGGGCAGGCCGTAGCCATGAACCGGCAGCTGGCTGAGAGGGAAGAGAGCGAGGAGCAGCAGCAGCAGCTTGAGGAGTTCACCTCCCCACTTCTCTTCTCCAGCAGCTCCATGCTGCTGTCTCCACCCTCGGGGTCCAACCTGGCCCGCCGCAGGAAGACCGCAGGCAGCCAGCAACAAGGGCCGGTGTGTGCTTCTGAACTGCGCCAGCTCCTCGCCCCACTTGTGCTCGTGGGCGACTGTGCCTGATCTCTACCACCTTCTCCAGCCTCCGATCACCCCTGACGACCTTTATCAGAATCTTCAACTAGGCAGTGTGTTGACCTCTGACCTCTCTGCCCAATTACTTTGTGGGTCGTAAGCTCTTGTGGGAAGGACTCATGTTTGTAGCACTTAAAGCACCTCCAAGGCCCCCTGCACACAATTTTGATTGGGTAAAATGTGGCTGTTGTGGCTGGAAAGACTTGTTGACGTCTGAGAGCCCCAAGAATCTGTCAATATAACAATGTTTACGCAAAGCACGAGAATCAAAGGACTCAAGCTGCTTCCATTCCTCTACAGCTGGACCCCACAGAAGCCATTTAATTTCTAAGCATTAGAAAAACACTTGCTGTTTGCCTTTGCGCTCACATGGGACCCCCAGCATCCGAATCTTTTGTACTTGTACTTTTTCTTCAGTAACTCACAAATGATGAGTAACTGATAATGATGGCAGACTGTGACTGTAATTAAGCAGCAACTGTTGTTGGGACTTAAATGGCAAATTAATTTCTAATTCATTCAAGTTATCCAGGGCCGAAATTGCAGCCATGTTGTGCTGGGTTCTCTCTCCTGAATTATCAAGTACCTTATTCACTTATTTCAATCCACTGTTACTGTAAAAGCACTTGTTTTCTGCCAAAAGCAAATCTGAGCAGTGATTTCTGCAGAAACCTCAGGATCTCTTTCTGAATGAACAACCGAAGCAGATTTTAAAGCTGAAAGACCCATTCTATGTAAATTCATTGGCATTTAACATGTCTTGTACTTGCACTGGAAAGTTCCGCTTTTTTCAGGGAGGCGGCACAACTTCTGTACTTGGCCTCTAAGGAAAACAGGATTTGGTTCCATAATCACATTTCCACCCCATTTTCGTTTCCTCTTTTGACCTGAAATGCAATGCTATGGGGGTTTTGAGGAATTGACAGGTGCATTTTCAAGGCTCTGCAGCAAATTCTGAGAAGTCTAGCATTTGCATTTCCAACTCCTTTTTCACCATTCATTCAGTTAGTCATTGAACATTTCGTGTACACACGGGCTCTGTCAATGACTTCATTCACTGTTTGAATAAAGGTGATTTATTCCACGAAAAGACCTTAAGTCCTCTGTTAGCCTCCTTTTTGTGCTTGTAGACAGACCTCTGAGAGAAAGGTAAATGGATATGCAGAAAAACTTCCAGAAACCAATGTGCCGTGCTGCTATAATATTTTGCCCCCCCCCCCCCCCCCCCCTTTTTTTTTTTAAATTTTTTTTTTTTTTTTTTTTTTTTTGTGCGCTAGGAAGGGAGATTTGTATCTTCCTTTTTAAAAGTGTTTGTCTATTGGTTTTTAAAAGTTGTTTAACTTGTGTTCTGAGAAAATGTGCGCCCCCCCCCCCCCCCCCTTTGTTTTTGGTCCTCAATAAGTGCCAATATATGTATATAGATCAAAAAATTTCTTCTAAAATATTACTTGTTTGCGTTGTTCCACATTTCCGGTCTATGATGACTGTAGACACTTTAATGTTTGATAGGTTTTTCTCCTATACTGTGTAATGTAACCAGAAAATATGCAGATCAACCTGGAACAAAACACTTTCAATCTGAGTGAAGCAAAGCCTATCATTGAGGTTTTTGGTTTAAGGTAGTGGTTTGTCTTACAGTAAGACTTTTTCTTGAAATGCATATACAGTTTTTTTTATTTTTTTTTATGGAAACCACCTAGGATGGAATCTGAGTTTAGTGTTTCCTTCTGAGAAAGGCCCCCTTTTTTTTTTTTGAATTTTTTTTTTTGATTTTTTTTTTTTTTCATATAACCCCCTCTACACTCAAGGGACCAGTGGTGTACCTCTTGTGGTTATTAATGTATTTTTATGTGGGTGTAATATTTTTTTTTTCCCTTTTTTTTTTTTTTTTAATCTGACCTGGGGGGGGCAAATAAAGAACATGAAAATTGTACAACTACAGATGTTTCTTCTTATAAAAACACTCATAATTGATCACTTAAGATCAGGGGATTATTATTGTAGGATGACAAACAAACAGCCTCACCAAAGTTGTTAAATTTTGTTAGAGGAGAACATTCATGTCTATAAAGATGCTTTCGTATATATTTTTAAAAGATTTAAAACCTTTAAAGGTTTTTGTCCTCCCTCATTTCAGATAGATTGATATATGGACCTGGCCTCTATATATTTATTTGATAACTCCACATAGCAATGCGCTGTGGATGTTTCTTGATCTTCTTTTTTTTCTTTTTTTTCTTTTGTCGTCTTCTCTCTTTCAAAAAGTTAAAAGAAAATTAAAAGAAATGTTATCATTCACGCAAATTACTTGTTCTCATGTGTTTGTCTCTCACAAACATCACTGGACTTCTGTCCATGTACACACGCTCAGATATCATTTTTACATCACAGCTTTGATAAACACTTCAGTATGCCATAACATGTAGTTCATATGGCAGTTACAAACAGCTATGTATGGGGGTCCTAAGCAAAACTTTGTGAGGGTGGCCCTGTCAGTGCGTTCATAAAAACCCCAAAATGACCCCCAACCCCTTAATCTGTTCTTTCAGAGCAGATTCACTGTCAATACACAACAGTGGGTCGAAACCATCAGTAATACATAAAACAAAAACAAAAGGACAAATACAAAAGAAAAAAGATTACAAATGAAATGAACAATTTAGCCTAATAATAATAGCAAGTCTCTATTTTGAATATGCAGTTGTCATAACTACTTACAGTAAATGCTTTCAGCCTACACAGTGAGTCCTTCACTTAGAAAAACTGAAGAGATAATGTTATTGTATAATGGTCGGTGCATATGGATTTATTAACTGTTGGATAGTCAAGGGGATAAATATGTAGGCCTAATTGTAATGCTGAATGGTATTCAGTATTCTTAATGGTGATTAACATTAATGTAGGCTAGTATGTAACCTTTTTTTCGTAAACATAAATTAAAGGTAAGGGTGAGCGGGGCACAAACTAACGCAGGGCTAGTTGTAACGTATTGTTTAAAACTTTTTAAAGGTTTGTTTAAAAGTACATTTTTCATCACGTTTTTAGTATTGATTTAAAATGAGATAAATCTGATATTTTAATCTCCAATATGTTATTTAACAGTTGATATGGTTCTATAATGCTTCGCTAACTAGTAGAAGATAGCAGGGTTTAAATCCCAGTTGCGCAGGTGGGGCATGTTGTAACACTCCGTTACAATGTGCCCCTATTAGAACTTTGCTATTCTATTCTATACTTTTATGAATTATATTGAGAAACCATGAGACTGAGAGTCAATGTTCAGATATTATTCATTATTATTATTATGTTCTGAACTATGCTGTATAGCTGTGTTTTGTGGTGTTTGTTGTCAAACTAAAAAAAAAAAACCTTTTTAAAAATGCCATTATTTTACATGGAAAAGTGTATTTTATTAAGAAAATATTTTAGTTGGTCTTGTATATTTTTTTGATTAGATCAGATAAACATTTTAAGCTGTCATATGGTCATGTTACACAATGTGCCCCTCACATGTTACAATAAGGGCATGTTGTCACATTTCACTTCCATTCTTTCAGGGTAAATCAAGAAAAAAGTATACACTGTATTAATGAAACAAAACCACATAATTGTACTAGATGTGTGAAATTAATGTGGGGAGAACTCAATTCTGTGAACCCCAAGTGAATTTACACAAATTGAGAAAGTCAGAAAGTGTTAGGTTCTGCCCCACTCTCCCCTACTCTCTGATTCTGCAGGCCATGCTGACAAGACTGCAGAATGTCTTAGAGAAAGTTTCAACTTTAACCCTTAAACAGGCAAGAGTGGAAAATGCTAAGCAAAAAATAATTTCATTTCATTTTTATATCATCTGGACTTAAATAAAACATATCCAAAAGATTTTTTTTTTTAAATTGATATATTTTGGATTTTATGAGTTGTGTCTCCTGAGATACGTTGCCTGATTAGGGTATAAAAAAAGGACCAAGTCATTAATCTGTTAACTGTTACTGCCACTGTATGTTTAAAACAATTATATCCCATACTTCACCTGATCTAATGTTGACAAATTATATATCATTCGAAAGCTGACGAACTCAAGATTCAGCCTGTGAAACCCGTTTTGAAATTGGACGTTGTGTTACCATAAAAACGGTTCTCTATATTCTTTTAATGGGCTCCTCCCCTTTTGGGCATCGTCATGTTTCATAATTTATTATCAAAACCTTTTCTAATCTTGACAAAACACATATTGTCAGAAAGGTCTGAGTCTCAAGGTTCCATATTTTGTGACAGAAGTGATATTTGGACAGAATTTTATTAATTTGTTATGGCAGAATGGCAGAATGCATACAATTAAATTCAATGGAATGTAAGTCACCCGGTGGCTATTTTTGGTATTATGCCTAAACAAAATCTCACGGGAACTTCAATTTTTGTGATATCAACATCAAATTTGGAACACAACTTGGTTAGATATATGGCTTTGATTTTAAAGTAATTTTATAGTAAAAAATATTTAGTAAAATACATATTTTATAAAAAAAGAATAAATATTAAGTACAGTATATTTGATTTAATGTAAGATTTAAACTTCCTTAACTTTTTCATACTTTCATTTTTTAAAGTGCTTTCACTTCAGCACTTCTGCTGACTGTTTTCTTTAAAACAAGACCAAAATTAGGTCTATATTCCAAAGCATTCTTGAATTACAATCATTTAAGTTTGAATAGTGCATTTTAAATAGAGCTAGTTTAATCCCTTTTGTATACCCTAAACAGGCAACATGTCTCAGGAGACATACATTTCAAAACGTGCTAAATAACTTAAGCCAAAAAATTGTGTTTTTTGGTGACTCTTTGAAATTAGACCCATATCATTTTAAATTTGTTCTTAATTTGCTACTTTTTCTTGCCAAATTTTATATTCACAAGTGTAAATTTTCAAAGAAAACTCCTTCCTTTTTTATTTTTAAGAAAGATCTTGATATATATATATCTAAATTCGTTGAAGGGCTCTAAAAACTCTACTGTAAGACTCTGCAATGGTGTCAATAATTTAAGCTAGCTTGATATTCTGTTGTTTTTTGTAATGTAACCCTATGTACTGTACTCTTTAGTATTGTGTTTTATTGTCTTGGTTTTTGTATTTGTTATTGTTGCAAAAAAAAAAACGTGCTAAATAACAACATGAACAACATATTACTTAATTTTCTCCTTCAGCACCTTAAGATGTTCACAATTAATGTTAACAGTATTCATTTTTTTTTTAGAAGAAAAGTAAGTTTAATATTATCTCAAAAACTGAATGTTCTGCACCACTAGCAGCCATGTTGGATTTAGGTCAGGCTGACGGGGCTAATTGATCACAAAAAATTTGAAGCAAATCATGTGACCAACATAGCCTACTCAAGACAGACCAGGCTGTCATAAGTGATAAAAGAATTTGATGAAAAAATAGTTATATGCTCAAAAAAAGACAATAAAAACTATGTATCTCGTGAGACACGTTGCCTGTTTTAGGGTTAAGGACAAAAAGAAACAGTGCCATTGTAAGAGTAAAAAACAAAAGTATAATCTGATAAATATAGTTGACAATTAAAAATCGTATTTACTCGGATTTCTAAACAGGAATGAGCGTCGAGCTGTGTTGGGAAGAGTCAAGGTTTAAAAGAAACACGAGCTCCCCCACGTGTTGAAATCCCGACGTTATTTTTTTCTAAACATTAATTTCACTGGTAAAAATCATAAAAATCAGTTGTAACAAGGCGAAGGACAACATTTAGGCCCAACTCATTTAACTTTTTTTTTTAAGGTGATGATGAAAATGTGAGACGCCATAACTATTTTTAAATTAAAATCCAAATTGTCTATCCTTGAAGGTTAGAAAATTGATTAGAATAGAAAATCAAGACAATAAAAGCAGTTTAGATACAAGTCTTTTTTATGAAGGGTAGGCTAGCCTACCTTATAGGCCTACCGTCTTCCAGATGGGAGACATTGAAAAGAATGATGGAAAGATGCAATCGATCCAAATGAAATCTGATCTGTGAGAATTCGTATGGTTTTATTTATTTACTTAGTAAAAATGCTGAGAGATAACGGCCAAGTTCACAAAGCTGTTTTGAATTTAGACACATCTGAGCATCACAACACAGAGGCAGAGCACTAGATAACATTTACAAATTCAGCACTGGAAGAATATTGAATTCTGTATAGCAGCATCCAAGAGAAAATGAATGGAGAACATTTATTGGAAGCATAGTTTTTTGACAGAATTGACAGAAATTCTGTTCATTTTTCAGTGCTTCTGGCACACAGTTTTCAGCGCTGCAATTATTGACCCGATGAGAAAAACCCCTGTCTTGAACAGCATGTACCATATCAGCACTGGATCCAAAATCCCTTACAAAAACAGGAAAAAAAAAAAAAACACATTCAGTAGACGCAAGAGATGGAGATTTATTTGTGATATGCACAAAATCTAAAATTCTGGGTCTGAGATTCACAGCATTCACTAGTAAAATAAAACAGTAAAGTTGTTATGAAATGCATTATGAAATGCCAAAAGTGATTGAAACTATCCAAGAAAAATGACAGCTACAGAACCTTTTCACATTTTCTTATACAAAATGAGTTACTCCATCAATATTCAATTTAATTTTTTTTTTATCTATTATAATTCACTTTGGGACCATATAAAACCTTTTGTTGTGCATGTAATTCTTATTATCATTATTATTATTATTATTTTATTTGTTTATTTTGCTACTGTTTGTTACAGGTCACAGGTCAGAGCATTTTCTTAGCAGGACAATTAGGAGAGTTAAATAATATTGTATTAAAACTGTCAACCGACATTTATACCAAACAGTAAATCATATTTAGTTTATCCTGCATATTGATCTGTACACAATCCAATAAAGCAGTTAACATCAATTCTATAGGCTAATATGATTTATTTCAATATACTGATGGATCAAGTCTCAGATATGCTAACTGGAGAAACTTACTTGATGGTGTAGAGCTTTGGTATGTGGTAGTCAGAGAGGATGATGTTTTATTTACAGTGGATAAATTTGAAGGAAAATCACAGTCTGAATCACACACACACACAAAAAGGAAAAACGTTCTTAGTCGAAAATTTTCAGTTTAAATTTGTTCAATGGTCCAGAATTTCACACTTACCTTCCACTTTTACATAAGCCCTGCTCATTGAATCCAATGACTTGGTTTGGCAGCTATATATTCCCGTATGATTATTATTTGCACTGTGAACATGTATAGAGAGTGTGATACTATTATACGAAGACTCTAGACTGTTCTCAAATTGTTGATCTTTCACCACTTTTTCATGGTTTTGTGGTCCATGGCATGCAAACTGACATGTGAGGGTAAAGTTTTGACCGGAGCAAACTTTCTGCCCTCCACTCACGCTGATGTTGGTCTGACAGCCACCTAAAAGAAATAATTACAGACATGTAGCTCTCCAAATATACATTAAAAAAAGGTTACTACGTACCTTTTCTGAAACTTACCTCTTATATATGATGGAATCAACAGCAGCAAAATGAATTTCAGAAAGCACATGTTTGAACTGAACTGAGACCAACTGTTGAGGTTCAAGTAGAAATAGACTTTGCAGAGAGCAACTCACATGTCATGAACAATAGGAACTGAGACCAACTGTTGAGGTTCAAGTAGAAATAGACTTTGCAGAGAGCCAGAAACTCACATGTCATGAACAATAGGAAATGACTCAGGCTGTGGCTTTGTATTTTATCAGCTGATGATCAATTAGATATATGTTCAAACAATAAAAATCCCTCAAATCAAAATAATTTTGCAGGTTTGAATGAAAAGGTCATCTAAATGAAACATCACCTGCAAACAGTGGCAGTGCAAATCTTGTGACTCCCCATCACGTAAATGTAAATGAAAAAGTATGTCCGGGCTGGGGAGAAGCCACCAGTAGCTGCCAGGGCCACCTCATCTGGCCTGCTATAGCAACAGCACAAGACTGGGAGTTGAAAGTTGACCTGGAGAGGCAACTGAAATTCCCAGAAACTGCCGCCACTACAACGCTGCGGCCTGACATGTTACTCATCTCAGAGTCCTCCAGGCAGATCGTTCTCTTGGAACTCACCGTACCCTGGGAGGACCGCATCGAGGAGGCCAATGAGAGGAAGAGGGCAAAATATGCTGAGCTAGTGGAGGAGTGCCGGAACAATGGGTGGCGAGCGCGATGTGAGCCCATTGAGGTGGGATGCAGATGGTTTGCTGGCCAGTCTCTCTGCAGGGCCTACAACATCCTGGGCATCATAGGGGCCAGTAAGCGAAGGGCTATTAAAGAGGTCACTGAGTCAGCAGAAGTTGCCTCAAGGTGGCTGTGGATAAGGAGAGGAGAACCATAGGTGGGGTAGAGCTACCTGGACACAAGTTGGGGCCTGATCCACCCCAGCTGGGTCGCCTAGGTGAGAGTGTATGATGCTTGAAAGACCCGAAACACTCCGTGATCCCAGGTAAAATCACTGATGATGTGTCCAGGTTGCATCAAGTTGATGTATGGAACAAGCTTAGATGTGAGGGTTAAGACTTCTCAATGCTTCTTATTGTTTCAAAGTTAATGAGGAAGCACGATTTTTTTCCCAATCCACTAATTTAATTGGTTAAGGTTACAGTAGATGGGTTTGCATTACAGATTTGTGCAAAAGTTTTGCAATATTTTCTAAATGTTTATAAAAACTATTGCAAAATGATAGCGTTTCCATTAACCGATGTTATGCGACTAAAACGTTTTTTTTTTCTCGCGCGATAAGTCATTCCAAAAACCATGGCGATGGATGCTGGTTTGCGTATATCGCAGCCACCGCACTATCCATTATTTTTAATGTAGGTGTGTTATCCAGATTAATTTTAAAGCGATTCTTTTTGAGAAAAGTAGCGATTCAATTTAAAGAAAGTATCGATTAATTTTTAGGAAAAGTATCAATTCTTTTTGAAAAAGAAGCGATTAATAAAAAATAAAAAAAGTATTGATTCTTTTTGCGAAAAGTATCGATTCATTTTAAAGAAAGTATCGATTAATATTAAGAAAGTAGCGATTCATTTTGAAAAAGTAGCGATTATTTTTGATAAAAGTAACGATTCTTTTTTGAAGAGTTGTGATTCATTTTAAGGAAAGTAGCGATTCATTTTGAGAAAAGTAGGGATTCTTTTTTGAAAAGTAGCGATTCATTTTTAGGAAAAGTGTCAAATCTTTTTGGAAAAAGAAGCGATTGATTTTAAAGGAAGTATCGATTCATTTTAAGAAAAGTAGCTATTCTTTTTTAAAAAGTAGATAATTTTTTTTTAGAAAAGTAGCGATTCAATTTAAAGAAAGTATTGATTCTTTTTAAGAAAAGTAGCGATTCTTTTTGAAAAAGTAGTGATTCATTATAAAGAAAGTAGCGATTCTTTTTTAGCAAAGTAGCGATTCTTTTTTGAAAAGTAGCGATTGATAGTAAGAAAAGTATCGATTCTTTTTTGAAAAGTATCGATTAATTTTTAGTAAAAGTATCGATTAATTTTAAAGAAAGTATCGATTACTTTTTAAGAAAAGTATCGATTCATTTTAAAGAAAGTATCGATTAATTTTTAGGAAAAGTATCAATTCATTTTAAAGAAAGTATCAATTCATTTTTAGGAAAAGTATCAATTCATTTTAAAGAAAGTATCGATTCATTTTTAGGAAAAGTATCGATTCTTTTTGAAAAAGTAGTGATTAATTGTAATGAAAGTATCGATTCATTTTAAGTAAAGTAGCGATCCTTTTTGAAAAAGTAGCGACTCTTTTTGAGAAAAGTAGCGATTCAATTTAAAGAGAGTATCGAATCTTTTTAAGAAAAGTAGCGAATCTTTTTAAGAAAAGTAGCGATTAATTTTAAGGAAAGTAGCGATTAATTTCAAAGAAAGTATCGATTCATTTTTAGGAAAGGTTGGTGCCTCAGTGACTACGTTTAGAAAAGCTGTCAACCACAGCTGTCAATCATGACGTCACATTCCTGTTTTTATAGCATCAAATAACGAACTAAGAAATACACTTAAACTTAAATCAGCGTGATAAAAACTACATAAAATGACAGAAAACATCTTTGAAATTTTGTTTTTATTTGAAGTGTAATTTGATTGTTTAGTTTCCATCGGGTCCATTCGACCTCATGGGGAGGGCGGGGGTTATGACCTAAACTGGGACGAGCCACCGGTGGGGGGGTGGGAGGGGTGTGGGGGGGGGGGGCGATCGAGACACTTTGGCTTCACTTTTCAGGGGTGCTGCCATACGACAGGGGAGCTGCGTTCCAGTCCACTTTTAGACACGCACTTGCGAACTTCCCTAAGCACTTCCCCTCGGGGGACCCTGCCGACCCTTTTGAAGTGCGTTCCACTTCGTGAAGTGGACGAGGGAAGTTTATATGGACAGACCCTCGCTCCCTCGATTTTGACCGAGGGAGCGAGTCTACTTCATATGCACACTTCAGGCAGCTCCATATACCACAATGCAACACGATTGTGACGTCACCGCAGATCTCCTCTAATCACCACAACTCTATGATATATGATTTTTTTTTTAAACAACCCAAACACATCTATAAACATTTGGATGTGGCATTAAACAAATTCTTAAAGGGAAACATTTTTTAAATAATAAATCAACTCCATAGCTGATTACAAGGGCTTAAGACGTTTCAATCATAGACAGTAAAGGTTCCAATTGGTTCCAATTCAGCCCACTGCAGTTTCCGCCAGTAGTGGGCACTCGTGCAACGTAAGCATATGACGTACATCCGAGTGAACGAGACGGAGGGAAGTTAGCGAGTGAAGGGCATGACAATTTTGCACTGGAACCTATGACTGGAACGCAGCATGGAAGGAACGCAGCCCCATACCAAGAAGAAACTGCAACATTGTAACAAAAGAGTCCCTGTATCGGAACAAAACAAACGATCTATAGAATGTTATATTTCAGTACACAATATAATGTGTTAAGATCATAGAGTGTAAAAAAAATTAAGATACATACTTTCATAATCAAGCTGCAGCATCTTCTTTCTGTTACTGTCACTGGACGTTCACATTTGAACCGTCGCTGCGGAAACCGTATTTAACCCAACAGCCGGGTACTAGAAATTACCCAACATTTTTGGAAAATAACCCAACTTGTGTAACACATTGGCTATGTTTTGTCTCACGCTTTAATACATTTATTTGATAAAATTACAGTACAAACAGTACAAACGTTTGAACGGCATACTGCAAATCTACTTAAATAAATGTATGACCATATATAAAGTAAATAATATTAAAAAACTAACATCATTTAAGTGAGTTTTATATTTCATCCAGGGTACTAAAACAATGAAAATAGGCTGCATAATATGACTGAGGGAGTCTGACCCACGTACAGTAGCTACCAGCTATTCATATGCCAGTTTCTACGTCATCCGGTTAAGTTTCTCACGTAGGTTTACGTTGAATGAAACTGCGCATTATTTTTTTCCGAAGAGCGCGGAATTTTATGACCCAGTATTCTCCAAACCCAACTACGCAAGTTTTGCAACTTAGACTCGCTGATGTGATCGGCGACAGCGGAGGAAACGCGCCAGCTGTACGGAGAGGCTTAAAGAGACATCAGCGAAGAGGGAGAAAAAATGATAATGGCTTCAAGGAATGATCATTAAAACCGACAAAATGGGAATTGTCGTCGACTTATAATACAGAGATATAGGTAAAAGTGTCTACTCTGTTGATAAATCTTCCTCCTTTAACGATTTATGGAATATACCGCGTACGTAATTTAGACCAATTTCGACTGTTCGGGATTAAGGAGTTGCCCGGTTAATGGCTGGGAACAAAATCTATGTGCTTGTCAACAAACATTGCTTTGACGTATGTATAATGTTGTTGTAGATAATAACAAGCTGTCTTTTATTTTCCATAAACCCGCTGGTGTTGTTGAATTAGTAACTCTCGTTAGCTCGCGGAAGCGCAGGCCACAGATCGTTAGCTTGTTTGGGCTAGTTAGCACGCTAGCCGTGTGTTCACTCATTTCTGCTGCTTAGTTGGCAACTCAGTGGGTAACTGACAACACTGGTTCTTCAACACTCGAGGATTCACACGAACGTCTCTTCATTGCTTTCTTTACGTTCATGTGATGTAGTCTTACAAAGGGAACAGAATGTACCAACATGTTTGTCTTAGAGTTTATCTTAGTAACCCAAGTTTCTTTCTCATACTTTGGTGGCGAGCTGCA